GTTTTGGGGTGACAGCTTGGCAGAGGCAGGGCAGCAGCCAGCCCGGGGAGGGGTCTGATGAGCCACAGCCTCCAGAAAAGCTGCCCCCACAGCTCCCAGACCCTTCTCCCTCCCTCTGTGCCTCAGTTTCCCCAGCTTGAGCAGCTCTCAGAGACCCAACAGTCATCACTGCCTCCTATTTCCTCTCTCCCACACCCAATTTTTTTGGGGGGGGAGGACTAGAAGATGACTCCCCCTCCCCCCGCTCCAATACCTGCACCCTGGAAGGGAGCCGGTGTCCCCGCAGCCCCCCTCTTCTCTAAGGCCATGTAGCCCTCCTCGTCCTCCATGCCACCGAAGAGCCGGAAGGCCAGTATGTTGGGGACAGGGAGGAGGGGACAGGAAACCCAAGCCCTGATGACCACTCTGGGGCTCCTGCCACCGAGCTGCAACTGGCAGAGGTGGGGGCAGGGTCTGAGCTTCCTGCCACCCCCGCAGCGAAAAGAGCCCAAAACCAGCTGGGGATGGCAGCCCTGATGCCCTGGTGAGGGACAATGTAGAGGGTGTCCAGGGGATCACCAAAGACCTGCACTCCAGGGGGGTTGATGGTAACCCCCAAGGGTGGGGACCCAAGCAGGGACTGTCCCATCATGCTCTGCCCTGATGCACATCTCCATCTTGACATGAGCTGCACATTTGAACCCTTCAGGTCACCAAAGAGATGCTGGAGTCCTCCCAAACAGCCCTACAGAGTCTGTCCTGAAAAGGGTGCTGAGGTCCTTCCCAAGCCCTGGCCAATTCCTGTCACTCCTGACATCTCAGAGGCAGTTTCAGCCACTGCTTGTCTCCCACCCGCAGCTGCACCACAACCTCTCTGAGGTGCCACCAGGGTATGAAACTCCTCTTCCAGCTCCTGTTGAGTCACCAGATATCACCGGACTCCACTATTCCATGCATCTTTGGATACTGAACAATCCCAGCACCTCCAGGAAAGGGTGAAAATGGAATGGGCGCCTCCAATTCCCTTCTTCCTCAGCTGTCCAACCACTACTTCCCAGAGCAATACAAGTTAATGTATGGCCTGAAGCCCTGCTGGGAAGGGGCTGGGTCTTAGTGTAACCAATGATATAGAATCAGGAAATCTCTCTCCTTCCTCTTCCTTAAAAATTAGAACCCCACTGGAGCGGGGGCACTGGCACAGTTCCCAACCAGGTCCGATCCACCACCTCCAGGTCAGGGAGCGTTGCGGGACATGGCTGGGAGGGGACGGCTTCCCCCTTGCCCCGGTGTCTTCTCCCCCCAGCCCTGGCAGTGTGGGGTGCTGGTGGTGGGAGTGTGGGTGTCTGGAGCCCTTCCCTATTCCCTCCCTGGTTTTACTGCCCATGGGGGCTCTTAGGGCCCCCCAAATCCTGACCCCTCAAGAAATTGCTGCTGGGAAGTGTTTTGCCTCAATATGGGGGTGCAAAAGGGGCTCTTGGGTCACACTCAAGAAGACGTCAGCCCAGGTGGAGTCATGGATTAGGGAGGTGGAATAAAAAGAATCCTTGTGTAAATGTGTAAATAATGGGTGAATGTTGCCAGTAGGGGGTGCTAGATTTGGAGATTACCTCTTAGCACCCAACTTTGAGTAGAGCAGTATCTCCTCTCTAAACTGGTCCTGGTTTCAATACCTTTGGTTTCAGGTAATAATTAATATACTTTTAATTGTTTAATTACCAATTGAGGCTGGGAAAAGAGGGCTCCTGGGGCCAAAGGCACCATCCTCACCCTGCTTTCATCTGCTTTCCCAGGCAAGGACGTCTAGGGACAAGACAAGGACTTGATGGACCTTCATCTGAACCCCTGGCTCTGCTGTATCTTCTCAAGGAACAAGCCCAGGCTCTTCCTTGACTAAAGCCCAGCACATCAGGGCTTGCCCTGAGCCAGCACCAAAAGGAGCAGCCCCATTTCCAGGTGTTTCTGCCAATTCTGACTCCCCACTTTGCACATGGAGTCAGGCTGGGACCCAGCTGCAAAGGACTCCAGCTCCTGGCTTGCAGCTGACTTTTCCCCACCTCTATTCCCACAGACTTGCTGGGTTTGAGGGGGCAGAAAACGCAGGTTTCTCATCTCCCTTTGCAGTGGCTGTTAGAGAATAAAGGAGGATGACTTTTCCATCCTCCAGTTCTTTTAATCAACTTCCAAAGAAAACCCTGCAGGAAATAAAACCCCAAGATAAAAAGGCCACACACAAGGCAGAAATGATTTAGAATTGCACTTTTAACTCCCCATCAGGACAAGTTTGCAGCCACCCTGTAACAACCATTTCGTGATTAAACAGCAATTAAGAGATGAAAATATAGTCCAAGTCACAGAAATGCTCCCATTTCACAGTAAAGGAAAGGAACCTGAACACCGCTCCCCTTTCCTGTCCCTTTGGTGGGATTGGGACAAAACCCAGCCCCTGGTTTCTTTCCCAAGGGTAACTCAAGGGCTTTGGAAGTTGTTTTTTTTGTCCCATGCCTTAAGAAAGAAGTTTGAGTTCAGCGTCCACGAACACCATGAACCACGGGAAGACTCTCTCCCCTTGGAACGATGCTGGTGGAAAAGCAAAGATGTGTTCTTTTCTCTTAGCATCAAAAAAAACCACCCTCCCGTTCTCATAGTCCAAGCAGATTCGTATCCACTTGGGGACACTGCGTAGAGTCAAGCAGGTTTCATCAGGAGAGGTCAGAGCCTTGTACTCATTTTGGATATGATGCAGAGCCCACACCCCCTCATCGGTATTCAGGAACAACTCACAGTCCCTGGGAACTGACTCCTTGACCACCCCCATGCCCCAAAAGCCTTCTCTATGGACCTCCACGTCCCAGCAGTGCCACCCCGATGTGAAGCCTCTTGAGCCCAGCACACAGGGAATGACTTTGAACCTCCCTGGGTTGGAGGGCAGGTCCTGCTCACAGTCTTCCAAGCGCATGAACTTGCAGTCTTCTGAGACATAAAGACTGGCATGTGCCGTCTGAGGGTCCAGCGTCATCTGTGCTGGAGGTGGAGAGAGAGTCAGGATCATTGCAGCAGATTTGAGGGGAAAGAGGGCTTTTTCTATCACTTCCCATCCCTCTGACCCAGTTGGGACCCCTCCAGGCATTACCTGGTGGTGGGACCAGGGCATCAAACTCAGGCCCAGGATGGATGGGTGTCCTGGGTCTGGCGGTGATGGGGTTAATTCTCCCCAGGACCTAGGAGGGACACAAGTATTCCATCCCATGTGAGCCATGCCCAAGGGGTAGCCGGAGCTAGCCGGGGAAGTGGGGGGGGACAGGAAGTTGGGGGGAGGAGGCGGTGACCCCCGGGGGAGGAGAGCGGTTGGGGGCGTCCAGGGAGCGGTCGGCGAGTGGCGGTACCGTGATTGCGGTTGTATATTCCTCTATTATCGTTGTTGTTATTTCTTGCTCTTTGTTCTGTTCTGTTAAAATTGCCTTTGTCTCAACCCACGAGTTTTGCCTTTTTATTTCGATTTTCCCCTCCCGGCCGCGTGGCCGTTG